AAAAAACACAATTTTGATTAATCTAAAGTGTAAAACAATCTTCAACACAGACCAAATTAGTGCCCTTGGACAACAAAACATGGTGGGGCAAAGAAACGATAAATTAAATTGAGAGAGTGGGAGACTAAAAATGATTACTATGATAAATATTCAAACTATTTACAAAACTATTTACAGAAGCTCCTGTTGAACCAGCAACAAAAACAGGTTTGTCAACAATAACGAGGCCACTTTGCCAGGGGGAGGTGATCTAGCGACGAGACAATAAAGCAATTCATATTAGGTTCTGTTGAGACACTACAGAATATAAAACCTTCCAAGCCATGACCTCTGCCTGAAATCAGGACCACTCATGCCCCTTTCACACCAGCGCTTTTTGAGTTCTGGCTTGGAGCTGGAGCCTGAAAAGCTCCAGAATCGGATTCACTTCCAGCTCCAAAAAATTGTCGGTCTAGAGGCAAGAGCTTCGGAGCTAAGAGGTGGCGTCGCTTACGTCTCTCTTACGTTGAGGCGTGCAGGAAACTAAACCCTCCTCCCCTGAACATGGGTCGACTGTCATGCCTGCCTACAAGCAGTAGTGCTTATAAACACACTTTATAAAGTCAGGCAATACTAACCAGGCTTCGTGTGATTCTGTTTATTTGTACCTTACTTTGACCATCCGTTCACTGTTATTGATCATTGTGGAGAGGCAGACGTGTTGTTTTGTATTATAGCAGCTATAGGATGGAATCAATACATGGGCTGCACAGGTTGTCGTGTCCGACTATCACAAGTAGAATCATAATAAAAATACGCCGGTAAAATGTGCCTGTAGAAAACGGTTTATGCCACAATAGGACAGCAATAGCAAGTAGTCAGTTTAGCTTCGGTTGCTATGCTAACATCACCCATTTTATACCAGAGAAACTTTCATAACAGCGTTGTGATACCAAACAGCGTCAATTCAGACTGACACACATTCACTTAGGCTAAGGGGAACTGGGGATATGTATCAGCTGCTTGTGTGAGTCGGACAGTGAATACTTTAGAGCGGCCGCAGCAGTGTGAGCTAACCGGGAGCTAACGGAGGAGAATAAACTCCCGTGGAAGAGCAGCCAACACTGCAGCGGTCGGTAAATGCCGCTGAAACACATTAATAAACAATGAACCACGGCACTCTGGAGCAAAGCATAAGGTTGGAGAAGTCGTTATTCAATTTAATCTGGCTTCGTGTGATTAAAAGCAACACGATCATCGACCCGACGTAGTTCCCCGTTATTGTTGTTGTGAGCGCCGTAATGCCGTTGGGGAGCAAATCAGCGATGTAAACGATGACGTCATGACGCAGCAGCGGCAGCACCAGTAGGGTGCTGGGCGGTGTGAACAGAGCGGGAGCAGAAAAGGGAAACCGGAGCTGAACCAGAAAAGCTCCCGCTCGGAGCTAGAAAGGGAAAAGCGCTGGTGTGAAAGCCGCATCAGAGGAGAATGCAGCACATCAAACTGGAGTCAGGAGTGTGAATAACACATTTTGGCCAAAACAAATTGTTGCTTACCAATACAGTGACTGAACATTGGACACCAAAAAGTTTGACCTCATGTCGTCACGCAACACTGTTACTGCCCTAAGTCATTTCAAGATGGAGGAGTATGATAAGGCCATCAGCTTCCTCCGGGACTCCATCCATCTGTTTCGGGCCTGAAGATCGGTCCCAAGGGCAGCTGGAAACCAGTCCAGACAGGACTGGTGATGGCCACAACAACAATCCTGGAGGTCCAGCATGACCTGTTGAGACAAGGGCACACATTTGTTCTCACAAGCCGTTTCACTCAAGACTGCCTGGAAAACACATTTTCGTCCATTCGTCTGAGGAACTCTGTCCCAACACCTGTAGAGTTCCAATATGCTCTGCGCGCTGTCACTGTGGGTGAAAAAAAAAAGTGCTAATTCTTTTTTTTAAGTGTTTATTTTGTTAAAAATAAACATTTTGGATGCATGAAGGAAGGATGAGCCTAAAAGGCTCATCCTTCATTCACTGCTGTAGAGTAGCCTATTCAGTAGGCTATTATTTGTTTAAGACTGAATAATACCTTTGAAGAACAATCATTAAACTAGTGTGTATATTACAATACAAAGGAATCTATCCTAGCATGCCATCAAGTATTAAAAAGTAGCGCTAGGCTAGTTGTACAGTACAGATGAGTTAACACGGAACAGTACCAAAAAAAACTACAGTCAACATGTCACATAATTAAATGTTAGTATATCCCAAAATTCAATGAAATATTAAATGAAATATTCATCACAAACGCCACCTCATTTCTACTAGTGCTAGCAGTTAAGTCATATCATACAGAAAAAGCCGACTAAGGATGGCTGACACGGTCAGGTTCAGCGGATAAAAACCAAAATAACAATAAAAACACATAATCAATCTAAATCCTGCTTGTTAGTTACCCAGCATCATTGATATATAAGCTGCTAGCGATTCATTACTGAAATCGTACCTTCAAAGCTGACGAAGTCGCGCTAGCTAACTAGCAGGCAATGCTAGCTAAATTGGTTGTAACAACCAAGATAAAATATAGATAATTACGCTGTGCATATACAAATGAAGACCAGTATAAGCATCATAAAGGGCCTCTGATACAATATAGACAGTTGACAATTCAAAAGAGTTCGATATTTCAGCAACTTACCTCTGGAACTAATCGACGCGCCGTAATGTAAGTGAATGAGGTCCAACGCCCAAATGACAATATTTTGAACTATTTCGATGTCCATACCCCGGAAGTAGGCGCCGCCATTTTTTACAACGGAGGTCTATGGGAGTGTCGTAACTCTTATCTCTCTAGGGCTCTGCCTACCGCCACGATAACATACACGCGGTTTGATTGGCTAGCGCTTGTACTGTCAGATTTGCATACGCGGGATTTGATTGTCTGACGCCTCCGTCGAGGCGGCAAAAGTAGAACATTGCTCTACTTTTGCAGCGAGCACCGCGAGAGAAGCTACGCTTTGCTCCCACAATGCAGTTCGGCGAATCGTGAGGTCACCCCATTCAAAGTGAATGGGCAGAAGCGTTAACGCACGCCGCCGTGTGTAGGGGCCGTGCCTGTAACGGCCCCTACACACGGCGGCGTGCGTTACCGCTTGGCGGTGGGCGTGTCTGAAGCTTGGGGATTTTTTACGAACAACGCGACCAACAACCAATCACATGAATGTCCCGCCCCGGACATACAAAGCAAAGCATTCATGCTACATCCATGCTGGCTAAATATACTGTCTATGCTTGCTAGCTGTCCATTCAAACGAAGTACACTGGATATAAACTCCCCAAACAGGCGAACACCTACCAGTTTCACCCACTGTCTCTGCCACCTCCCCCCCATGCCTGGCTCCTCCGGTTTGTATCCCTGTATGTAAAGAGGGACTGGTGGTCATATAGTACCGCCACGATCATTTTCTCCTCCATTTTTTGACATGGGAAATAACTGCGGTCTGGCTCTCCCAACATACACGCGGTTTGATTGGCTAGCGCTTGTAATGTCAGATTTGCATACGCGGGATTTGATTGGCTGACGCCTCCGTCGAGGCGGCAAAAGTAGAACATTGCTCTACTTTTGCAGCGAGCACCGCGAGAGAAGCTACGCTTTGCTCCCACAATGCAGTTCGGCGAATCGTGACGTCACCCCATTCAAAGTGAATGGGCAGAAGCGTTGAAGCGGCAACGCACGCCGCCGTGTGTATGCTCCGTAAGGGCCTAGCCAGCATGTTGTTGTTGTTATTGTTCCTGTTTTCATTGTGGTTTCTCTCATTTCAGTCTCAGCTTTCCTGTCCTTGATTGAACTCCACCTGCTTCCCATCCCTAATTAGCCTCACCTGTGCCCCATTATCATCTCTCCCTCTGTCTACTTAGTCTGCATCCACATTCCCTTCAGTGCCAGTTCGTCTTAGTTCTTCCTAGCGTTCCAGCAGTATTTTTCATAGTATCTGATTCCACGTGTACCTGACCCAGCTTCGTGTCCTGACCCGGTCCCTGTCTACTCCTCATCTGTTTTGTTAGCCTTATTGACTGATCTCCCGTGTACCGAACCTTGGCTATAAAGACTTTTTTTTTGCATCCTAAGCCTCTGTCTCTGAGTCGTGCTATTGAGTCCTCCACTTGTGTTCATTCAGTCATTACAGGCTAACTAATACAAAGTCAAACAGTATCAATTTCATTAAGAACTAATGGTAAAATTATATTTGTATCACTCATCAAAGATAGCAGAAAAACATGCATTATGTACTATGGAGGGGACTCTGACAGAGGATTACTCACAAAGTACACAGCAAAAGTAGGCCTACTTCATTTTATTTCTGGTAGAAGTCAAACTAGAACCGAGTCCAACATAGTCAGTTTCCTTAAGAACTTGTGGTAAAACATATTTGTATCACTCGTCAAATATAGCAGGAATGAAGAGCAGCTGATTTGGAAAAAAAACGCGAGAGACGGCGGAGTTGACCGTAGTGCAGAACCGCTGTATAGTTTAAATCTCCTAACAATGTTGTCCATTTTAGACATAGGCTTATTATATTTACAGCCCTTAATAACATCCATTTTCTGGGCTCAATATGTGTCTTGGCCGTTTTCGTTGTGATCGCTAAATTCCCCTTGTTTATAATAATCGCCGTTCCTTCAGTAGGATACTGTAGTGATTGAAAGTGTGATTTTAGCAAACGAGTGCTTTTGTTTTGGGAAATCACTTCCGTGAGTTTCGCCCCGCCCCTCGGTCCAAGGACCATTTGACCATTTAGTAAGGTAAAAAGCAAAAACGCCTCTCAGACGCTCTTCCGTTTACGTGTTTAATAAAGAAAAACAATTGGACGGTAGATACACGGATTCAAATTAAACATTATGTTTTGTTTTTTAATTAATTTGATTCAAAATCAATTAATGTATTATTATTTTATTTATTTATCGTTTTTTATTAATAAAAAATGAATCGTGAGACTTGACCCGCCCCCTTGTGTTTTGACGTCTGCGCTGCGTCACGTCGCCTCCTCATCACGCACGGGCCTGGCTCGCTTCCTTCCATGCTCCGCGCCCCTCGAGCTGTCATAATTTCACCGGGAGAGGCGAAGGGCATCCGGGATACAGGCCTAGAGGGGAGCTGCTGAAACTCATTTTGGAGGTCAGTAACCGGGATTTAAGACTTTAAGGAAGCCTGTGTGTCTGCGGGGAGAATGCCGGGAACCCTCTTTGTGCACAGAGATGGACCCCGGGTCACACTAAAATCCGTCCTGCAGAAGACCAAACCTGTTAGCATGTTAGCCGCATGCTAACCAACACTTCCCTTACCGGGACTGTTAGCTCATATTTCAAATTATTCGCTGAAACTGGTTAACGGTTCAAGTACGAAATGCACACAATAATGATAAATCTCCCGTAACTTCAACTACATAGGCACCTATTAGCTGCTAGTGCAAATGGCAATTAATAGAGAAAGTACAAGCTAACCGGCTAATTATATAACGTTAGCTCTAAAGCTAATAATGTAGTCGGTTCCACATACTGTATAACGTGCAGCTGTCTTTATCCTTCATTCTGTGTTTCACACTCGGAGGAAAGCATAATTTACAATGTTTTTTTAAAGCAGTATTTTTTAAGGAAGTCATGACTCGTGAAAGGACAAAGTGTCAAACAGCTGCTGTAGCCAATAGTAATAGCTTTGGAGTCCTATTTCAACCAATGAATAGGGCGGGTGGTGGCCGCCTACAGGCCGTGAGTGAAGAGGAATGGAGGCAGGGAGTGAAGACCCAACAAGGTCAAAACACAGCAGCTGAGGGAACACATGAAGACACAGCACAGGTTCCTTTGCTCTATCAGACTGCAAATATCTCAAATGCAGAATTCCATAACTGAATATGTGCTAAGGCAAAAATATCCTTATCTTTGTTGGCCATAAAACAATGTCTCCCAACGTAGCTAATAACATATACAAACGGTTTAACTACCTTTTTAGGGGTTTAAGAAAAAAAATGATATTGTATTGCAGTTGTGTGATACCTGTTCTGACTCTTACTAAGGAACTTAATCAATACTTTACATTCATTTGCAAAGGTATGCATCATCAAAAGTAGACCTATGATTTTGGATGTTTGGATAAATGCAACTGAATATCCCACTACTGTGAACTTAGATTGAATGCATACGTTTGACATACCACTACCTCTGACTGATTTGCACATGTCAATGGTTGTGGGATGTAGATCAGGAGCGTTAAGCTGGTAGTACACTTAAAACAGAACAACATTTGGCAGGTTCCCAACGTGCAGGGAAATGCATATGTTATCATTGACAAGCCGTAGTAATGGAAAAAATATCTATATTTAAAAAGCAAAAGTAGTCATTCCCAAAAGTTAATAGTAAACAAAAGCAGGATTTGCCGGGTAAGCATGCAAACATACAGGTCTTAGATCAAATCAAGAACATCAGATGCCTGCATTTACAACATTTTTACAGCTTGTCACTGTGTCTCTTCTAATGCACGTCAGACACAGGATTTTCACTTCTGTCCAATAACAATCCCGTAACAGAGAAATGAAAGAACTCCTGAAACTGGAATGTCTCCAATCCCATTCCCGCGCTATTCTCCAGGCTACCCTGCAAGAAAAGTTCTATTTCACAGTTTCTTGCAGACACCTGAACACTTTGACGAAATGTCCCTTGACTTTAACATTTTGACTAAAGCGGTGCTAGGGGGGCATTTCACGGTCACAGGGTTCAGCCTTCAGAACACAATTAAAATGGCCATTAGAATTATCTCATGAGGCAAATATCAAAAACAAAAGTTATGAAATTGCATTGTTTAATGGCCAAAGTATTTTTACTGGCCTGCGTTGTCACTTAATGAAATACACTGATTTATCTACTTTGTGTTTTGAAATTAAAATGTTGTTACAACCATGTAAAAAAACGCATGTCATCAGTATCAGCCAATGAATGTTACTGTTGATATGACAGGCCTGTGCACGCCATTTACTTTCACATTTGAGTCAGATTTACATTTTTTCCCCTTCAAGTTCAGAACGTGTGAGTGGAATGTTCATGTCAGTAATGTTAGTGTCCATGTTGTGGTGTTTGAAATGTAAATATTCAAACCCACTATTTCTCTAACACAGTGTCCCCCCTCTCTCTCTCTCAGTGGACAAACGGACTTGTGGACACTTTCTTCCTCCCTGTTTTTCCTGGGACTAACCCCGGTGGAGTGACTTTTTTTGAATCCCGTCGTTGTTCTGAGGTTGAGGACGTCCGGCCCGTCGGCCTGACCACCACCAACGTGTGTGTGATACTTTAAGGACTGCAAATGCATCGTTTAAGGACTTGTGCGGCGCGGTTGCGTCCGCTAACCGCCTCACAGGCGGCGCAGACTGTCGGCCCACAGCGGCCAATCACAGGCCCCTCCAGAGGTGGCACAAGGACGTTTCTGCCAATCAGGTGCTACACGGCACCTGTGGCCTCGGAGCCGTTCCTGAACGGGACGAGCTCCAACTATGTGGAGGAGATGTACTTTGCCTGGATGGAGGACCCCAAGAGTGTCCACAAGGTAAGGAGCAGTCTGGTGGGGTACTTCAAACTGAGATATATAGAGTGGTGCGGGAATGAGTCCTAGAACAGAAATGAGTCGGTGTATGACCACTTCTGCTTCCTTCGTCTCATGGTTTGACAGAATGGAGCTTGTGCTGTCTGCAGGAACATCCACACATTTTGCCTGTTTCTTAAAGGACAACCAGGCTAATAATAGCTGCTTGAAGCTCAGTCACATGACCGGGCTGTTCTGCTGTACAAAGAGGCCGCTCTTAAAACTCAAAGGAGTTTAATTTAAAGGTCCCATGTCATGGCCATTTCCACTGATCATAATTCCATTGTTGAGGTCTACTAGAATAGATTTATATTGTGCAATTTTCCAAACTCACATTGGTTTCTCAAACAGCATCTCTGTAAACTACGTGTATTCACTGAATTTCACTCTCTACCTTTAACGGCTCGTTGTAGCTCCAATAGCTCCAGCCCCCACCCTCCCTGTGAGCACAGTGTGCTCTGATTGGTCGGGACGTTGTGAATCGCGCTGAGCTCCGTGGAGGTGTTGTTTCCTTGTTTAGCGATACACAGCGAAACACAGCCAAACTCATCCTGAACACACACAAAGTCACAGCCGAAGTAAAAACAATCAGTGTGGCTTGATATTGAGTAAGAAAAAGGTTGATAAACGCTGTGAGAATGGGTCTGCAGAGAGAATGGGTCTGCAGAGAGAATTTCGCCGCGATCCCAACTGTCTGTTATCAGCCTGCAGCCAGGAGGAGAAATCAGCAGAGCTGCCTGCACTGAGTGTGTGAGGAAGTCCGTGGATTGGTCAATTTGGACCAATCAGCGGGGGCTTAACGTAACGGCTCCACGGATTGGTCACATTTGGTTCCGGGTACCGCATGACCGTATCGCGTCATAGCTCTGGGCATGGCTACTGGCCATTCCTACGTCACAATACCCAGGAAGTAAACAATGGACAATGACGTATCTCCAACGAGGCGTTTTGGGGAGGTATTTTCTGTACTCGCTACAGGGGTGTACTTTGAGGGTACTTTGAGGGTTTTGACTCTGCACACCGTTTACATGCATAAAAACCTTCATAACACACAAGGGGACGGGTAGGGTTGGGTATCGTTTGAATTTCCACGATTCTGATTCTGATTCTACTTTTCGATTCCGGTTCTTAACGGTTCTCAATTCCGATTCTTTGAGGTGCAGGGTAACAAAATGATACATGCTTCTTCCACCAAAAAAATGACATTTATTCGAGAAACTTTTACACAGGTTAGTTTACAGTAATATTCACATTAATCAGTCTGTTTATATTCACTGCTATGTAACAGTAACCTGAGAACCACTGAAGCTACAACAGTCCAACTTTTAAAGGAACCCCCCCCCCCCCATTTAAAAACAGTTCTTGTTGAGAAAAACAAGCATATCTGCCTCTCAGGCATACCTGGAAGAAATGTTTGAACATTTTAAAGTAAAATGCTTCAATCTGGTGCACTTTAAGCAGAATTACTAGAGACTAGATCTAGGGGGTACAACTCTAAACACCCATATGAAAAAGATCGGTTTACATTTTTAATAATTAAATAAGTATGTGAACATAACCAGTAACCTACCATAGCCAATAACAAATACATGTAACATATTTTATTTTTGTTGTTCATTCATATCTTATTTTACTATTTTATTTATGCATATTTTTGTATCTCTCCAGTTTAAAACGATATGTCTGGTTTACTGTCCTATAGTATACATTGGAATGATTTCAAACCTGTTTTATCCCAATAATTATAAAGGAGTGCCTTGGAAATATGTGTTTACATAAATTGTGATCAAAACGTTTGAGACCCACTGAGATAACTTAAAGTGAACTATCTAAACACTCAGAGTCCTTTACCTCACTGAGCCTCTCAGTCTGACTGGAGAGGACTCTCCCTCCACATCATTGTAGAAACATCTCAGTGCATGACATTAAGGATTTTGGGAGATGGCCCTGTGGGCCATCTAAGCTAATTTACAGATGGCCCTGAGCCCAATAGAGATTGCCCTGAAAAATGCGTGCGGACGAAATGACGCACGAAGGGTTTGGGGGGCCTCCCCCTAGAAAATGTAGATGTTTGCTGGTCTTAGATGCTGTCTGGTGCATTCTCTAGACTGAATTAGAAGATGAACCACCACAATATTATATGTTTCAATTGTATTCTTCATTTCACTTGTTTGTTTGTTTTTGTTAGTGTTTGCTCGCTTGCATGCCCTGCATAGCTATAAGAAATACTTAATTTGTTGGTCAAGACACTTTCCATCTGATGAAGGCAAATGCCTTCATCAGATGGAAAAAAGTAGAAAACATTACATTCAGTTATAACTGCCAAAACAAACATTATTTACACTATTATGGCCCCTGTTAAAATGTTTGTAATGTTATCTACTGTAAGTTGGTCGAACGAATGCCTCCTCATCCGGAAGCTGACCGAGCAGACCCGAGCAGCAGTCGAGAGGAGCCGAGCGCATCCGCGAAGCACACAAAATGGTGACGTCAGAGTTCCCGTTAGCCGGCAAATCTAAATCTCTCCGGTCAAAATGTCCGGTCAAAAATAATTTCTCTTTAGCGCAATACCGCTTCAGTTGCGCCACTTATGTGACAGACAAGAAGAGTATGTGACAGACAAGAATAGTCAATTCTAAAGTCTAACACTTAATGTGGAGAAAGAGATTTCCTGTGTGGGTTGATTGTGCGTTGATCTGTTGGTAATGCCTCGGGGTTCCGGTGGGCATGTAAACAAATGCATAATGCTGCGCTATACTTTGTGGCCTCACCCGGTTGCATAGCGACACTTATTGTTTAGGTGTCTTTTAATAAGCAGGTAGTCATATCATTAGCTAGAACTAGCTGGATCTGATCGATATGGACATAAACGCGAGTGAAGTCTAATCTGACGGGAGAGAGAGATCAGCTGCTGCTGACGAGTCGACACGCAGCTCTGCATAATCACATGCAGCGGGGAGCGGACAAAACACACACTTCAGGTTAGAATATCACACGTAGCTATTTTAATGACCTCTCAAACTACCTAAACTAGTTATAGATATGTTTAGTTTTACTGTCGGGTCACTCATTACTGGATCCGCGAGCTGCATGATACTGGCATAATAGATTGCCCGATCGGGCAACCAGCAGGTGAGGCTTCATTGCCCGAGCTAAATACTAGATGGCCCCGGGCCATCGGGCAGTCGTTAATGGCGAGCCCTGCATTTTCTTCTTCCGTTAGAGCAGCTAGCACCAGATGCTAATAACAACAGCGCGTACCGGTGCACCCTCCCTTTCTTCCTCCCTCGCTCCCACGCTCACTCGCACTTTGGCTGTGAGCTGCGGGTGCCAGATAAGCCAACATCCCCCATTTTCATCACTTACAGCGCCCATCTTACAGGGCAAATGAAAAGTGTAACCGGGGTGAAAAGGGTGTTACATTTACTTAATTATGAATGTTGTTACATCAAGGCCGAACATTAGGATGAGCACCAACGGTCAAAACATTTTTTTTTCTCCCAGAGCTGTCAGCGCAGCGCCTCCACAGATCTGGCGCCCTGGGCGAACATCTATAACGCCAGTGCGACGGGCCGGCCCTGGTCTCAGGTTACGCTGTAGGAAGTGTAGGTACAACCAGCGCAATATAGACAGAAAAAAAAATTCTATTATATGGCTCTGGGTACAACCATAGATATATATAAACATGTGTTTATATATATCTATGGGTACAACGCTACATTTCCCGCCCCTTCGCAGTCATACAGTAGGCTACGGAGAGCGGCGAGAAACATTTCCTCAGCATCGAAAAGCGGAACCGAAATTCACATGTCTAAATGATGCCGTTGGAATCGAAATGTTGGAACCGGTTCCGAACCGGAACCGGTTCTCGGTACCCAACCCTAGGGACGGGTAATAACCGGAAAAGCATGACATGGGACCTTTAAATATGTTTTTTTCTGCCTCACAAATCCTCACTTCCAACCTGGTGAATATTAGGGTATTAAGTCATGTATTCATTATGACTTTCTTGAGTTTGTCCTCACAAATGTTGAAGAAACCAAAGTGCCCTTAGAGAACATGTGCCCAAAATGTTAAGCAGCCAGCCAGATTGGAGAATAACAAACATATCCGTTTCCCATCAGATCATCTCACTTGCTTACAAAAGTGGTGCAAACACTATTACAGTTTTAATTCTATTTAAGGCCGAACAACGGTTATACAACCTTTACAGATGAGGTGTGTGTGTGTGTGTGTGTGTGTGTGTGTGTGTGTGTGTGTGTGTGTGTGTGTGTGTGTGTGTGTGTGTGTGTGTGTGTGTGTGGTGTGTGTGTGTGTGTGTGGTGTGTAGTGTGTGTGTGTGTGTGTGTGTGTGTGTGTGTGTGTGTGTGTGTGTGTGATGTGTGTGTGTGTGTGTGTGTGTGTGTGTGTGTGTGTGTGTGTGTGTGTGTGTGTGTGTGTGTGTGTGTGGTGTGTGTGTGTGGTGTGTGTGTGTGTGTGTGTGGTGTGTGTGTGTGTGTGTGTGTGTTGTGTGTGTGTGTTGATGTGTGTGTGCTGTGTGTGTGTGTGTGTGTGTGTGTGTGCTGTGTGTGGTGTGTGTGTGTGTGTGTGTGTGTGTGTGTGTGTGTGGTACTTGTTGTGCATAATGACGGTGGCCGACCGTGTGTGTGTCAGTTGTTATGTAAAGATCAGTCACTGTAACCTTGCTGTTATCAGCTTAGCAGGACTGACCTACAGTGGGACTGAATTCTTCTAGATGCAGGAGCTTAAAAAAAAGAAATCCATCTTTATTATTCCTCGTAGGGAATTTAAGGTGTCACAGCATATAAGATGTAAATATATACATCTTTATATATACATGTCAATACTGGCTCCCCTCGACCATACTCAGCGCACCTAAAAGCCCTGCACTTAAACAAGAGAGAAATTATTATTATTTAGTATAGTAATGTTTCTCATAGGATTTTGTAAAACTCTGACCCCCT